TATAACGGTTGATTGGCCCCTGCGTCCTATAACTGTTGCTTGTCTTTCGTTTCCGCCTTTTATCTCTGATGATGGACTCAGAAAGAGCCCGAAAGCTCAGATAAGTAAAAGTATGATTCCGGTGATCGCAACGCCTCTTAGCTCATGCGGCTAGAGCGTCGGCTGTAGAAAAGCCTCCCCCTTCCCGGCGTGGATTTGAATCCCGCCGAGATCGTCGAATGTCCCCCTCTGGGTCAAATGAATTATTCAAATCTACTAAATCCGCAATTGAATAACGAAAAGATTAAGCCACAACAGAGGTACGTACGATTGCGGGTCTCGAGGAATCCTCCTGTGTCATCGCCGTGTTACCACAAGCCAGTGTTTCCGAAGAGGGTAGAGACACCGGGAGTAATTTCTCGCGGGCGCAGAATTCCACGGCTCGCTGGAGACGACGGCAGAGATGGCGCGTAACTGCAGTTTGAACGGAAGCGCACACTGCCGCGATCTGGGTAGGGTCTAACTGTTGACGCGTTGATCCATCTGTGTCTTTAACAACAAAACAGATAAACAGTTGTCGTTTGTAGCCATTGTAAAAGCACCTCAGCTTACCTTTCGACTGCTCTAGTTCCTTTAAAAGACGATCAGCAGCGACGTGTATGCCCGAAAAAGAGAAATCGCAATCGCGATCCCTGCCCCTTGGGCTGGGCAGCTGGATCCCTGGAAGTCCCTCAGGGCAATCGCGGGCAAGTATCTCGATCGCTTGGCCACCGGCACAGTCCGCGAACTGACCATTATTCAGCCAAGACAGACGCATTCGGCGAGCCACCTAAGCTGGGCAAAACAAAAACACCAAAAGGGGCGGATGTACACAACGACGACTTCAGCGAATAGCTCTGTCCGTCACAAGCAGTGAAAAGGCCACTGCGCACCAAAAAACAGTGAGTTGAACTTGTATGGCCTCCACTTCGTTATCTTTTTCCACTCCTATGCGTACCAGAAGCCAGAAAAGGCCAACACGTTCGGATTTGAGTGAAGGTAGTGGCTGATAAAACCAAAGCTACATTTACGTGTATCAAGTACGTACTAGTTTTCATGTGCACACTAACTGAGATTTCATTCAAAGTAACGTTAAGAAATAACTGCGATCCTAATGGACAGTTCGACCGTCGATGTCCATCGTGCACTCCATAGCGCCGTGGTGCAGGGAAGGTGACTTACAGATGGATTAGTTTTAAGTGAGAGTAGGCTTGCGTTGCATCTACCACTCTCTCTCTTTCTCTTTTTTCACCCTTACTTACTTGTACTTCTTACGGCTGTTATCATGCCTGATCTAGCCGGCCTCACTTATGTCACAGTACCTCTCCATGCGTGACGATTGGCGGCAGCGGATCTGGAGAGCTCCACCCGGACTCTTCTCCAGCGACGGAGACCGAGGATAGAAGGTCCAAGAACTGCTTCCATGTCTTGACGGATGGTGTCGAGCCAGATATTCAGTTGG